AAAACTGACTATCTTGCCCGAGTCCTTACTTATTTCTATATCTTAAAAACTGGAGATAAACTTTCTATTGCATATATCAAAAAAGTTTATAAAGAAACTCTCTTTCCTCAAGCACAAAATATTATACATATCAAGTTTAAGATTAATTTCAAAACATCAAAAATCCCATCAAACATTTTTTTTACTCTGGAACTACCAGACCATCCAAATCCTCTACTTCACAACATCCCAAGGATACTACCAATCAAACCTTCACATCTAAGTCTAACCAAGATCAAACATCTTCTTCTGAACTTAATGAAGATGATGATGATATTGTTATGACAGATTCAAATGGCGATTCTACTATCAATGTAAATGACCAAACTACTGATAATAAAAACTCCAACCCCAACAAAAACTTATAACAAAACCCTCAACTCATTTCTACTCTCTTATATAATCCTTTTCAATAATTCCTTCTGTAGATTTCATTAAAGCAGCCACCACTTCTGAGATAATGATGTCCTTCACTTTTAGTGGGCCTTTCTCAGAAGAGAATGATGTAAGTGGACGGGTGGTTAAGTCTATTTACGCGGAGGACCAGGCTAATAACGGTCAGACCAAATATACATAGCAGACTATGGAACCCTTTACAGCTGTGAGAACTGAGCTTAAAATAGCGAGCGCACCTACAGAAAGACATTCATCCAAATTATTACCAATATCATCCAACTCCTATGATTTGGAAATATGTTTTAACAAATTTCTTACTTACTACCAACTTCCTTTATTAAGAAAACCACAAACTGTTAATTCTTTTTTACAACATTTACGACAAAACAATGTTAACTATTTAGCAGATCTTGCTTTTATTACTGTTCATAGTAATAAAAGTGAAGCATATGTATACTTATCACATGAACACAATATACTACCAAACTACTATACTATATCTGCCAATGATTCATATGATATTCCTCTTAAATCACACTTCAACACACCTATTTTTACATCTACCTATTCTCTATCAGTAGCTTCTGAATCAAGTTCTAATGAATTTGAGTCTCTACTTTCTGACCTATTTACATTTTTGCAAGACTCTAACCAAAATATTTCTAATCTATCTACTCTATCTATATCATCTAAAAACCAAGAATTTATTGACAACCCTTACAATCAACATCCTAACCAAATTAGAGACCTACATCTCAATATCACAATATATAATGTCCGAAGCTTTAACTCAATTACCAAAAGAGAAGCTTGGCAACACTACCGCCTTGATCACAATATTCATATTGCTAGCATTACTGAAACTAAAATTTCTGATAAGCCTAATCTATCATTTTGCAACAATAATCTCTTCACATACTTTTGGGCTAACTCTAACAGCTCTGCAAAAGGTTCTGCTATTATGATATGTAACTTTCTTCAACCTCACATTCATAATTGCCTTATACATTTTGATGGTGCTATAGCTATTGACCTATTTTTTAAAAGTAACATTAAACTTCGTATTATCTCTATATATCTTTCATCAACCGATATGTCAAAACGAAACTCAACTCAAGATACTATAATCAATTGGATTCAACTTGTCTTATAACAAAATCTTCATTTTATTGTTCTTGATAACTTCAATACACATAATAATATCTACAGCTTTTCTGCTAATATAAACTTATTAATTATCTACACCATTCTAATATGTATAATATTGGTGCCCACTTTGATAATACTCATTATATATAGTTGAACAATACTTCATCTAGTCAAATTAACTATATTTGGACTGACCAATTTAATATCCAATTTCTCTTATCATATACACTTGATATTAGTAATACCAACACTTGCAGTGACCACTCAATACTTAATACATTATAGACATTCTCTAATGTATACAGTAAACCACCTCGCTTTTGTACTGGCATTAGTCATCATATATTTAATGATAATGCAATAACTTTTCAAAATTGGACTAAGTTTTCTGATCTTCTTACATCTAAGCTTAACAATCATCATGTATCTCTTTCTTCACAAACTAGCGATAGTATTGACACTATTTGGCATAAAATTAAAGATTCTATTATGAATAGTGCTATATCAATTATTCCTAATAAGATTAGCTGCAAACGTTATTATAATCATAGATATACTCCTCATAGTACACAACTCTATCTGGCACTTAAAAAACTTGGACACTTATTAAAAATCTTAAAAGCAATAGTAAAACTTATAACATCTCCAGTATTAATCAACAAATTGATGACATCAACTCACGATCTCAATGCAACCTCCAAATCCTCTCAGGTTTAAACTCTTCTTAAATTTTAGAATAGATAAAATATGCTCAAGATATATGGTACCAATTATTTCAAGCACGACATATAGAAAATTCACTCCTTCTGCATCAACAAATATAACAAGCCTTTGAAAATAGATGTGAAACACTTGTTAACAAATTCACACAAGCCATTAACAGTATCCTTAACTAATATCAAACTCCTATACATTTTAATAATATTAAACTACCTGATAAACTGATCACTGAGTCTTCCCTTATTAAACAACATATACAAAACCACTTCTCTAATTAGACTGTCTACAAATCAATTAATCAAACACTTTTTGATAATTTCTGGCAACAACAATATCAACCACAAGTTCACATCAATTCTGACTAGTACAATTCTCTTATCTCTTCAATTACAATTAAAGAGGTAACCTCAATTATTTCTAAGCTCCCAAATGGCAAAGCCTGTGGACCTACAGATATTAGCTATAAAATGATTAAGCACTCTGATACTACATGTTTTTAAGCCCTTACAGTTCTTTTTAATCTTTGCTTTACTCATTGTCAAATTCCAAAACAATGGAAAAACAGTAAAGTTTACCTTATACTAAAACGTAACACTTTTGATAGCAATCTTAATCTTATCTGTTCTATTAGTTTAGTTAAACACATTCGTAAAATCTATACTAAACTTATTACAAACAGACTTAATACTGTATTTTAGCAACATCTTATCTTATCTCCTTTTAACTATGTTGCTTTACCTAGAAATTCTATAGCTATTCCTATACATATTCTTAATAATTTCATCAAGGATGCTACTTGCTATCAAAAAGACTTATAGCTTTTGTCTCAGAATATGAGCAAAGCTTACGATTCTGTAATCTTTCTTTACTCCAACATTCACTTACTTGCCTTGCTCTTCCAACATCTATTATCAAAATTATCATGAATATCTTTACAGATTGCCACAATCAGGTTATAACTAACCTTGGACTAACTTCCTCATACCCTGTTCAAAATGGCATTGATCAAGGTAAAACTATCACTCCACTTCTCTGGAGAATATATTATGATCCACTTATATCCTATATTTACTCTTAAGTTCCTGGCTATACTATGCAGACATCTTGGATTACTAATTTAAAAAATAGATCTTTTAATAAACTGCAAGCCAGATGCTTAGTACTAGCCTATATGGATGACACTCTATAGCTTGCTTTTTCACAAGATGAACTCTCACAAATTCTCTCTATTGCTCAATCTTTTTATATAATGGCCAATATCCAAGTTAATCCTTCTAAATCTATTCTCTGTACAAACAATTCACCTTTCTCTTATAATTCTATTATCTATAATCAACACCCTCTACATTTACATTCACTTCACATACCTTTTAAATTTCTTGGATGCTGGCTTACACTTGACAACAGATATAAAAAACAAACTCAACTTGTTATTGATGAATCACTACACCTTATTCAAATCACAGATACAAAACGTATTATTGATACTCATGCTAGATATATTATCAATACTGTAATAATACCTACTATTGAATACCAACTACATAACTTTGTTCTTGATCAACATACTTGTAACAAAATACTATCACATCATATTGGACTTGTAAAACACAAAGCTAAGCTAAGCCGCACTATTCCTACAAGCACTCTTCTACATCCCACTTTTAAAACATTCGCAATATCTGGGATATTCAACTTCAACACCATATTACCAACTTTATCAAGCAAATTAACAATTGTGATCTCTTAGGCATTAGCTCTT